GACCCCTTTTTTTTTTTTTTTTTTTTTTTTTTGTAGAAGCTGGGGGTTAATTGCCCAAAACCTTTTTTTTTTAGGAAAACATATATATCCTATTTGTTGTCAATTCTTAGATACTATAATGCTGAACTGCCCAAGTTTCTCTTTTTTGTATATTGCAAGTGTATTTTTTATGCTCGAGAAATCGTTCTTTCATTGATGAATTTCCTTTACCATTTTAACATAGAAGCTGCAGATTTATTGCAGAATTTGTCCTTGGATTCTGAGTCCAAGACCACCGGAGTTCCTGAGCCTGGGAATAAGGCGAGTATTTTTACTTTGGATTCATTGTGTTTGGATTATCCCCTTTAATGGATCTCTGTATGATGGGAGATACCCTCCTAAACACCCAAAAAAGTGTTTGGAATTGTGGTGTGATAACTAATTCTTTTAGTCTACTTCTATGCAGAGTGGTCCGGTTAATGGGGGGACCAAGCCATTTAACCTGAATGCGAGCTTTGTTCCAAATGGACATCCATCTACTGCATACTATTATGGAGGTAAGGTAAGCTGTTATGACTTCAGAGGATAATGTGGAGATTGTTGATTGAATAAGTTATTATTCCTTCTGGAAAATTGATGTGCTGATGAGAGTCTGTGCAGGTTATGATACTACGCAAGTTGATTGGAACATTTATTCCAGATATATGAACCTTAACGGAGGGATGACACAAGTAAGTACCTGTTATTCTGGTTACTACTTGACTTTGTGATAGTGTATGTATTATATATTATAATATTATAATTGGGTTCTATAACTTCTATTTGTGAATTGATATTGAGAAAACAATGCTGGTTAAGTTCTATTGTGTGATGGCTAATTTCTGATTTATGTTAACTTCAAAATCAATTGGTGGAGGATGGTTGCTTCCTACTTGCTAAAGTCATGCATGATTACTTTATGAGGATTCTAAATTGTTACATCAATGTAACATTTCAAGTTTGTAAGCATCAGTTCCGTTTCAAATTTTATATAGCAGTACGTTGTTTGTGATTTTTTTTCTTGTCAATATCCAATCCTAAAATAGTTAGTGGATCTAGCTGTAGTTTGATCACTTTGATGAGCCTAAAATGATTCGGGAATCGGGGTATAGTAACCTCCCCTGAGCTTAGCATTTTTTACATTGACCCATCCTTGTTTGGGAAATTACACCTGCCTCCTTTGCTATGTTAGTTTTTAAGTGGTTTAGTAGAGGCTATACATAAAGTGGGGACGTGTATGTGTTATTTCTTAAACAAAGAAAGGCATAACGGTACATAATAAAGTAAGGGTGTGATTGGAATTTCCTAAACAAGACGGGTGTCACTGTCAGTGTAATAATCTTTGTTCTCAAGGGAGGTCAATGTAATTAGCCCTAATCATATCCTTGTTTTGCCAATTTTTTTAGACATGTTGTTTCTTACCTTTCGTCTTTCTCTTATTGTTGCTAGGATATGATTTCTTACCATTTCTTAACCATGGAATATAATTTAATAGTTAAAAGCTAAGACAATCTCATCTCATAGGGGTTTTGTTTTGTGTAATGAATTGAATAACAGGGTGTTTTGGGCGATAACTGCTCTTATTTGTACCATCAAGGCTATGGTTATACACCATATGGAGCATCCTTGCACCATGATGATAAAGTCTATGGGATGCAACAGTATCAGTACCCTTGTTCTTATTACCAGTCTGCAGCATCTACTGATGGGTCATTTGTTGCTAACAAAATCAACACTCAACAAGGGAAAACATCAACTGCAGTTAGTGCTGAACATATCCCTTCATCTGCTGTTATTAATAAAGGAACTGTTGGTGTGGCCTATGAAGATTCTACAAATAACAACGGGTTAAAGGAATTTTTATCAAGTTCCCAACAATCATTATTGTATTCAAATGATTCTTATCAAAGGGCTGGTTTTCCTGTATATGCTCCTTTCTCGGGGTATCAAGATCCAAGAGTAGGTCCACATGGGACTCAAACAGCATTATCTTCAGATCCCTCGTTATATTCTGATAATAAGTCCAATGATGGAACAAAAATTGGATTATCTTCACAAGCTGTGCCTGACAAAAACGGTTTCTCTCAAAGGAATATGGGTATTCCTCAGCCACTTCCACAGTCCATGGTATGTTTGGTCTGTCATCGCCCTTCCTGTTTCCAAGTTTCAGACAGGATCTAAGTATTTAAGTACCTTTGTCTTTCCCTTTACAACTTTAGCTTGCTTTTCATTTGTATAGTGCAGTTTCCTATCTAAAATTGTCCAAGAAAATTAATTTTCCTCAAATCAACTTCCCATTTATATTATGTTTAGATAAGCCCAATGTACTGGTTTCTGTTAGTTGAGGGAGTTAGAGGTAGTAAATGTTTGTTAAAATTCTAATAGTATTTGTAGATAGTCTAGAAGGAGATAGGGAGTGAAGATTAAGACTGATCTGTTTAGTTGGAGATTGGTTTTGGTGGGAGAGATCTCAGGCTTTGAAATCCTATGAGGAATAGCTTGTATTCTTTTCCTCTTCCTTTCCTAACCAGGATTCATCACTGCTGTGGCCAAGGGGTGGGGGGTTATTCTCTTCGGTCATTTCCTGTCTTTTCATTCATTCTTTCTGAAATTTCAGAACCAGTATATATCATATTTTCGTCATATATGATTATGGGTATAACTATTGCTGTGGTGATACATGTTCTGATCATTTATACATATTTATCCAACCACACCTGTCCTATAGTAGATAAGTTTGTTTTCTGGTTTGTGCACAATATTGTTGTTTCTAACAGTGAAATCAATTCAAAATTAATTCTTAAGCTGTTCCTTCGGTGCAGAACTTACATGGCTCCATACATTCAACTGGACTGGAACCATTCTCTGGATTCATCAACGGGATGTACCCAAGCAACACAGTGTACAGCCAATATGGAAACACATACAGAGCTAGTTCTCATTTTGGACCTGCTCCATATGGATATAAAGCAGGGTCTTTTAATAACAAGCTTAAAGCCACGAGTGATGGCCGCATTGTTGATCATGCCAAAAGAAATATGGATGGCTTTGGTGAGCTGAATAAGGGACCAAGATCTGGCGATGGTTCTAATGATAAAAGTGTCAAAGGTCATGTACCTGTCACCTTATTACTCAAGGGACAGGATCTTCCAATTAAGAGTGACAACAAAGAAGTGTCTCTAGTTCCTAACAAGGAACAGTGCAACGGGGAAGATTTTTCTGAGAATTATTCTGATGCAAAATTTTTTGTTATCAAATCTTATAGTGAGGATGATATTCATAAAAGCATAAAATATGGTGTTTGGGCAAGCACCCTTAATGGAAACAAAAAACTGGATGCTGCGTATCATCAAGCCAAGGAGAATCCTGGCAACTGTCCTGTATTTTTGCTATTTTCGGTGAGTTGCTGACTTGATAAAGCATTTAGTTGGGTAATTCCTATGCTTTCTTGGTTTTACTGAGCCTCATTTTTCTCATTGTTTGTTTCTTGGTACAGGTCAACACTAGTGGGCAATTTGTTGGATTGGCAGAGATGGTGGGTCAGGTTGATTTTGGTAGAACTTTGGAGTATTGGCAGCAGGACAGGTGGACTGGTTGCTTTTCTGTGAAGTGGCATATCATAAAGGATATCCCAAACAGTTTGTTGAGGCACATAACGCTAGAAAACAATGAAAACAAACCTGTTACTAACAGTAGGGACACTCAAGAGGTATTCACTCAGTGGCTTGTCTCATTCCCAAAAGTCCCTCCCCCTTTCAACTAGCAGTACACTTATCAATATCCTTCTGCAGGTGAAGTTTGAGAAGGGTATTAAAATTCTCAAAATTTTCAAGGAGCATTCAAGCAAAACATGCATCCTGGATGATTTTGATTTTTATGAAATTCGTGAAAAGATGATTCAAGAAAGAAAATCCAAGGAACTACAATTTTCCAAACAGGTAAAACGAACCTTCACATCACATTTAGAAAGAGTTTTGGCATTTGAAATGTTCCTGTAAATTCTTACTGTTACACTGCATCTTTTATTACTATGCACCTTCTAAATGTTGAATACTAAGATAAGATACATTCAGGATCATGCTGTTTGAGTGGCCTCTCCTGTGGATTAAACCTTTAAAATCCTTTGTTCTATTATAGGTTAGCAAGTCCAATGATTTAACAACGAATGGGACAGTTATATTGCCCCATTCTCATGATGGAGCCTTGCTGAATGAACCAGCTTCTACAGATGAAGCAGGACGAAAGGAGAAGCTGGTAGAAGTAAATGGATCAACTCAAGCATCTGAATAGATGTGCTAAACCAGTTACAGTGCTAGACAGAAGAGTGGTTAAAAACGTGTAGTTTTCTAGTATCACCCTCCCCCTATTGTCAATCCATTTTCATGCATTCCTTTAGTATGGAGCGAGTTTTGGTGCTTCTTTCCTGTTCGTAGTTATCCTTGTTTGACCTTGGTATTGTAGTGGATCTAATCTTGCACACCTCTTTTTGAAGAAAAGTTATAAAGTGAGAATGAAAATAATGAGTTAAATTAGAAATCCTTTTAAATATAAGTTTTAAAGTAATTATTATAAAAATTTATCAATTTTTAATTATATGAAAATTTATAATTGGAAAATAACCAAAAGAAAAATATTATCGGGATATTATAATTAAATTCACAATTTATTATCCTTTTCAAAGATGATTTATACTTGACATGCTATTTTTGCTCATTGTCATCTTAATAGCACCTTGCTGCAAGTGTAGATAGGAATGAGTATTTTTGCTAGTGTTAATGATTCAGATTTAGCATCTTGCTGCAGTTAGAAAATACTATGGATTACCACCACATATTCGGATCGATATAAATCGAACCAATTTAAACTGCAACAATTCGAATTGAATTGAGAAAAATGCAAATTCAATTAGTTCTAATCAGATTATAAATTTCGAGTGGCAATTCAATTGAATTTCATCCACTTCAATTATTATATAAAAATTTAGTTTTCAATTTTTCACTCACTCTTAATATTATAACTATTTAATACACTACACTTTAAAAATATGTATTGTGTATACTTTTGTTTTTAAACTTTTTTTAAGAAAATTTAAGTCAATTTTATTTGATTATCTACCAAATAAATATAATCGATTACTTTCTAAGAAAGTGTTTTTAGTGATTTCTATGAGAGGAGAGGTTTTCAGACATTTTTCTTTGGCGAAAAAAAAATTAAGATTTTTTTTTAATTTCTTTTATCTATTATAATTTTTTTTATAATGTCTATTTAAAAATGAAATTTTAATATTTAAAATAAATTATTAATGATTAAAAATGATTTTGTGTAGTAATATAAATATCATTAACTTGAGTGAAGAATTGCATTTTAGTGGATAAAATTTACTCAATTTTTTATTAAAATAAATATTGATAATTATGATAAATTCAAGTATATATATAATAAAATTTAAAATTTATTATAATATTTATTGTTATTTTTTAATCGATATTATTACAAAAATATTTTTTTTTGATGAGGAGTCAAATCAATAATAAAATTTAAACATAATTTTTTTGGATAACTATGGTATTAATATAAATTATTGTTAAATATAATTATTAAAATTTCTAGTGAGGATTATGAATGTATCTGAGGTAAATATTTCTCTCTCAATATAATTTATTGCATATACAAGGTTAAGATTCAAATTTTAATTAACTTGATTAAGAGATACGAATTATTTTTATTTGTGTCGATCAATGTTAATAAATTTTAAATATAATACTATTTATATATATATAATTTATTATAAATTTTAATTATATACAATAACAAACACTTAGTCTGTGTAATAATTCTCGAAGTGTTTAAGTGTAGCTACTAATGATGTATTCGGATGAATATAGAATTGATTTAAGTTTTTTAACTTTTATTCTTTTTGTTAATTTTTATTTTTTAAATAATGAATGTGATCTTTCAATTCAAACTAATTTGATCATAGTTTAAAATAAACTAATTTAATCCGTCTTATTGGTTTAGTTTGGATTGCAAATAAAAAAAGAAAACACAGATAAATTGGATTTAAATCAAGATTGGACAAACAAATAACCCAATTCTAGCCTAATAGAAAATACTGCTAGAGCCTTGAATGCAAGGGAAAAAGTTTCATGTAGAAAAAAAATAGTTCACGTTAATTTTCATAATTGTATTTAAAAAGTAATCTATTTTTAATATTAATTTTTTTTATTAAAACTTGATATTAAGAATAAAAAAATATAATTTTAATTAAATAAAAAAGATATTCTAGGTATGATATCATTAAATAAAATGGATTTTCGATATGAAGAGTTAAAAATGTCTTACTATCCTCTCCAGTTTTTAACTCAATGATTAAATTTTTATTAATCAATTGATGAAGCGGACCGAAAATCATTTCAATAATTTCCACTTGAAATAATTCCATGTTGATTTTTATAAATGAAAAAGTGTAGTTAAGAGAAACAACTCACTAAAAGGTAATTTTAGCTAAATTCTTTCACATAGATTAGTTGGCGGTAAAATTGATAAACATTTCATACCAATAATATGGTGACTCGAAAAAAAATCATATATTCATCTAATTCGATCTAAATACTTTGTTTTTTCTTTTTGAAACATTAAGTGTAATGACCCAATAAGTCATTACACTTAGTACAATAAAGTTACAATACAACAAAAAATAAAGAATCAATTAATTCAAAGTTATCATGCAAGAGTACCTGGATATTCATATGATAATGGTGTAGAAAACATAAAATAGCCCCTACTAATTTTGACTTGAAAACATAAAGCTCCTTATGGAATTACAACAAAATCTTATACATATATACAAATATACATCTAGTATAGAATACTGCTAACACAACCCTAGCATCGGTCAAACATCTCCATACAAATGTTGTATCAGAACAACTCAACAAAATAAAGGTCATTTCTAGCATGGTTATCCACCAAGCGTCTCCTCCACCTAATCTTGCCCAACTCCCATAAAAAGTATAATCATTATAGTTCAACAACATGGAAAATCAATGGTAAGCTTGTAAAAGGAAACACCATAACATCATATAAGGAAGTAATAACTTTAAGCAACATGTGCAACTTAAAACAACAGGTTAGCTTTACAACTTAAAGGCATAACAACAACTCAAAAAACATTCATAACTTAACAACATAAACAACTGAGCAATCAATTAAACAACTAATAATCAACTAAGCAATTGAATAACTGACGTTTCATCACATAACAACTTATGGATATCTTCTGTAATTAGGTGAGCAGTTTAAGTGGTTTGATCCTACTGAACCACAACAGTTGGTATAAAACCAAAAACAATGGCTAACATGGTGACAAAAAATAATGGCTAGTATGAAATCTAGAAACAATAGTTGGCATGGTGACCAAAATTAGTTTCTCATGTTTCGCCACTTACACTAGAAAAGTTCAGTACTACTATCAGGAATATAAAAAGTTAGGTATGAGTCTATCATAATCTTAGTATGCATAATTAAGCCTATATGAAATTAGTTTGTTGAATATCTTCCAAATATTACGATCTTTTCTAGTACTTAGTTAGGAATTTTGGCCTCAACCTTATACCTTACTCGTTGGGCACTTATGACAAGTATGGTTCGACCTCCACCATACTATTTTAACTAAAATAACCTAAAACAACTTCCTAATCAGAAGGCAACTTACTCATTGAAGATTTTCAACTTGTGGCCTCTCAAAGCACCATAATAGATATCCACACAATGAAATATTTAAATTTTTTAAAACAACTTTCCTTTCCTCTAGTTTTTATGCAACTTTCAACTTAAAACATGCATCACATATTTATCGCAACTTAACATAATACCACTTCAACACAACCAACTATTATCAACTTAATCAACTTAAATCATCATCATAGATTACCATACTATGAATTAGATTCAATCATCATCAATTTTCATGTAAACAACCAACAAAACATCTATCATGCATATCACAACATAACACAAAAAGAAAATATGCATCCCAATCCCTCCCCTGTAGAAATGTTGTGGTGATTGATTAGAGATTCAAAGCTACGGAGATGAGAGACAAAGATCGAAGCTAATGTACGACGAACTTGTGACACCCTCTATCCCGCATACCAAGACATAAATAATAAAATTTGAATAACACAATCTTTCATAATTGAAATACCAAACGTGTTTAGATAGAGAGAGTACCACATCCATAACTTAAACAAATAACAAAATCAGCGGAAATTACAAAGAAATAATGCTAAGGTTTCCAAAATAATAACAACATCCTAATCTAATCCTATCTATGCCCCAATGTCACATGTCCTATCAGAGCAAAGCCCAACATTGAAGCCTAAGCTTCGTCACCAACATCCTCAGCCTCATGCTGATAATCACCTGTATAATAGTCAAAGGAAAACAACACAAAAGAAAAGGGAGTGAGAAACATCTCACTCTGGCTCATAGTGTAGGAATACACTATTGCAACTCGAAAATTTCCGATCTTGTGACCTATGGTTTAGACATCCTTTTAAAGATCTCATCAATTAAGGAATGCTCGGACACCAGACTAATCCTTAATTAATGGTTTCGAAAAATGAGTTCATGGAGTCGCCACCAATGTTTTACTCAAAACATTGAAAAAAGAAAAGATTTTTCGAGTTGCA